GGTCTGGACAGCCCCTTTGGCCACATTCATGGCTCCAGTCACCCCACCACACACGGTGTCCTTGGTGCCCGTCAGGAAGGTCTTTGAAGTGTCCAGGCCGGTCTGGACGGTGCCCTTAGCCACACCCACTGCCCCTGTGACGCCACTGGCCACAGTCTCCTTGGCACCTGAGAGGGCAGACCGGGTCATGCCCAGGCCTCCGTGCACCACACCTGTAGCTGTGTCCACCACGTTGGCCATCCCGGAGGAGATGGTGTCCTTGGTCTTACTCATCTTGGAGCTCACCAGGTCCTTTGCCCCAGAGGTCATCTGATAAGAAAGGACACGCGTGGTCAAGAGGAGAGCCCGAGGCGCTCCACACCCCAGACTTCAGCCAGCCTGATCCCTCGCGTGCATTAGGGCGAAGGACTGTCACCCAGAAAGTCTGCCCGTCACCTCCCACCTGTACCTACTCTGCTCTCACACTGTCATCCAGCCATGGCCTTCCAGGGCCCGGCCTTCGCGAGCTCTGTCACAGCGCTGGGCGGCGCCCCTGATTGAATAGATCCCCACTGCCAGCGGCAGGTCCCCACACCTCCAGAACCTTTGCCAAAGTCCCCTGGCCTTGGGCTCAGTGCCGGGTGCTGGGTGACATAGTTGGTTCGTCTTGCCTACTCTTCGAAGGGCAGTTTCTCTCATCTGGTCAAACTAACAAAGGGTTGTGGTGGCCTGAGTCACCACCACTTGCTTTCAACCACAAGCGTGCTGTTTTTAATCCAGAGCTTCTTAACCGGGGTGATTCTACCCTCCAGGGGACCCTGGGTGGCGTCTGCGGACATCTGTGGTTGCCACGACTCGGGGACAGGGTGCCCCAGGCGTTGAGCGAGCAGGGCACAGGGCGCGCCACAACCAGGAGGGATCTGGCCGCAAACGGCCACGATACTGAGATGGAGGGAGCCCCGAAATTTTGTTCTTACCTCTGCCCACCTGCTACCCTGCCTCATTTCAAGTGGGCACTTGGGCCGTGTGCCTGCAGAGACCTGAGTTCGAATCTCAGCCCTCCGCCCCTCCCTAGGCCCCCCCGCTGTGTGACCTCAGGCAAGACACATCCCCTCTGAGCTTTTTGGCCGAAGCCCTCCTTCAAGGATTGTGGAGGAAGGGAGTCAAGGTGCCTGAAGCACTTTGCAGGAGACTGAGACTAAGACGGGGAGGGAACAGGGTGTGGCCTTGGCTGTGCCGGTCTGTTGTAATCTGGGCCAGCAGGGCCACTGGTGTTCCTCGCTCCTTGAGCTGAGCGCAGAGGGGAGTAGAGTAAGACTGCAGGGGGGCGGGGGGTGGGGTGGGGGAGTGGCGCCTGGGTGGCCCAGTCCGTGAAGGGTCCGACTTCGGCTCAGGTCACGATTTCGCAGTTTGTGATTTCGAGCCCCAAATCGGGATCGGCACTGACGGTGCGGAGCCTGCTTGGGATTCTCTCTCTCTCCCTCTCTCTCTGCCCTTCCCCCACTCTCACTCGCGCTCTCTCTCAACATAAATAAATAAACTTCAAAGAAAAAAAAAAAAAGACTCCAGGATGGGCGCTTACGCGTGCCCAGTGAAGCAGTCCTAACAGGGCTGTGGCGCCCTGCTGTGGCCCTTAGCGGTCGGGCATCAGTCACTCCGTCTGGCCCAGCCTTGGGGACGTGATAACGAGGGGAGAGCCCCGTTCATCTGAGATGGATGGAAGGTGCAGGAAGGTTCCCTAACCACGCCTGGCTGTGTGACCTTCAGCAAGCGGCGTGGCTTCTCTGTGCTTTTTGGCTGCTGTGTGGGGTACTGTCGCTCCCTTCCTCGCGGGGCAGGTTCACCAGTAAGCGGCACACAGAAAGCACGCAGCCCCAAGCCTGGCGTGCATTGAGGTGCCGGTGTTTCCGGCCCGTTATTGCTAGACAGAGCGGGAGACCGTGCGCAGCCTTGCCGCGCCGGGCAGGTGGGCGGTGGTCGGCATTGCACCCATTTCGCAGATGTGGAAACGGAGGCTCAGAGGGGAGACTACACCTGGAATCCCACAGCAGGACGCACTGGGGTGTCTGCCCTCCCCTTGGCAGAAGGCAGGAACCGAAACCTCCCCGGAGAAGCGCCAAAAGGAGGCGGAGGCCATCAGGCCTCAGGTCCACCAGCCCCTCTCACCTTATCTGAAGGCGGCGGCTGCTTCTCCCCGCCGGCCGTCTGCTCCAGGTTGGTGGCTGCTGTGGGCACAGGAGCTGGTCAGGCAACCAGGAAGGGCGAGGGACGTGGGCTGGCATCAGCCAACGGGCCTGGGGCCCGTTGCGTAATTGGTGGGCACAGCCTGAAAGGTCAGGAATGTCCCAGCCGCCCTGCCAGGGACAGCAGGAGGTGACATCGACAACCAGTGACTGAGCCCTGCCGGAGGCTCCCCTGGAGCCCTGGGGCTTTGGGCTGCTGGTACGGGAGTTCTCTGGAGTTTTCTATGCCCCGGTCCCGGGCGCTGGACACTCACCCCGGAGGGGACCCGAGGAAGGGTATTAAGGGCCCCGCCCCAGCCGCAGCTGCCTGTCTGGCCTGGGTATGTGGGGCAGGAGTCACTGCCCTGGGGCGCTGGGCCCAGAGTGAGCGAGCGTCCAGGCCCACGCTCCCCTGCATCAGCCCCGCTGAGCAAATGGAGGATAGAGAGTCCCCCGCTCCCTCCCCGCCAGCCCCTGCCGCCAAGGCTATGTGACCCCAGGGAAGCCAGCCCCCTGTGCTGGGAACCAGGACGGAAACCTTCAGTGAGCTCACACACGGGGAGCACCCAGTCCCTGGTGCATCAGAAATGGGGTGGGATGCAGGGGAGGGGTTGAGAAAGCAGAGAGACAGGCTGTGTCCACACCCTCGCTGTTGCTGGTTATGCTACTTTGGGCCCCTCTCCTGCCCTATTTAGGCCTCAGTTTCCCCCATCTGGTGCCACCTGGGCACGCCAGCCTGGAGTGTCTGTTGAGGTGATGCCGGCACGTGTGAACCCCCACTCCCCCCACAAATGATCAAAAGTCCCTGCTCGGGGATGTTTATTCCCGGGACCCCCCTCTAGAGCCGCCCCCCCCCCCCCCCCCCACGGAGATGTCCACTCACCCTGAGCCTGGGGCTGCGGGGACGCACCCGCAGGGTCGGCGAGCGGCCGGACCTCTCTCGCAGAACTGTGGGCGCTGGCCACGAGGTTCCGGGCAGAACTGAAGCCAGGCAGGGACCCCAAGAAACTTCCCAGGGTCTACACGGGGCAGGGGGGAAGCATTAGCAGGGCCAGGCTCTGGCTGGCAGCGTGGGGGGAATGCTTTGGACAGCACTGGGCTCCTGCATCCCCTCGGGCCCTCCATCCTGGGTAGACCCCAGGAGGGTGTCTTAGCCTCTCTGAGTCTCAGTTTCTTTGCCTGGGCCACGGGCAGAGTCAGCCTGCCTCCCGTAGACAGAGGAAAAGTTCATCCTCCGGGTCTCCAGAGGCCTTTTCCCTCCACGGCCCCCCCATTTCACAGGTGGGGAAACTGAGGCCCAGAGAGGGGCCATGGCTGTTTCCAGCTCACGTGGTAGAGAAGGAGCTGAGGGTTGCTTGTGTCCCCCCGCTGCCCCCACCCTTCAGCTTGGGACCGGAGGGGACAGTTGGTACCATGGCTCGCAGAGCCTTCCCACCCCACCCTTCCCAGGCCCTCCGGACCCCGGTACCGTGAAGGTCACCTTCCCAAGGTTCCGGGGGGTCCCCAGGTCCCGGCAGGGATCTCCCCCACCGCACCTCCCCTCACCTTGCCCTTGGGTTTGGGAGGATCCCGGCCTCCTTCATCTTGGGCAGACATGGTAATATTCTGAGCAGCTGGAAAGGGGCGGAGAGGGTGTGTGAATCGGGGGGCTCCCGGGCCTCCTGCCGCACCCCTCCCGCGCCGGCCACACCCCTCCGGCCCAGCCTCACCCTGGCGTTGCTCACCCGGGGTGCGTGAGGGTCCCTCAGAGCCACAGGCGGTGCAGCTGGGGGCTGGCTCTGCTCTCGGCTACCAGGCCTTATAGGGTCTGGGGCAGGCCCGGGCCCGGCCGGCAGAGGCAGGCGGCCAGCGGGCCGGGGGAGGGCCCTGGGCGGTCACGTGCAGCCTGCCCAGCCCAGCGTGGGCCCCGGGCCCAGGACCTTTCCCCTGCTATCCGCACCGGGCGGCCTCTGCCCACGGCACGCCCCCCCACCTCCAGCAAGGCCGAGGGATTTGCGGACCATGCCCTGCCCCCAAGGCACTGCCCACACGCTGTCTCGGCCTCCGGTTTCCACCCACGAAGTACACTTCAGGGCTCTGCTCTGCCGCGACCCCTTGGCCAGTTACCATCCAGCAGCCTCAGGTTCCTCTTCCAGACGCCCTCCCGGTGGCCCGCGGGGTCCTGCTTTCTGCCTGCCCTCCCCTCCTCCAGCTCTCTCCCCCTCGCCCGCTCTCCTCCAGCCACGCGGGACTCCTCACGGTTCCTCCAGCACGCCAGGCATGGTGCTGCCCCGGGACCTTTGCACATGCTGTTCTCGCTACCCGCAGAGCCCTGCCCCGCAACGCACAGCTCCCCTCCCTCAGGCCTGTTTCACTCCGAGCTACGTCTCCTGCGGCAGAAATGTACCCGGCACACGGTCAGCCTGTAAGGGATGTTTGGCTGGATGGGCCAGCTCATAGGACAGTTCCGAGTGTGAAATGTGGTCAAGCATGGGACCTGTTTACCCCACTGCCGGGTACCGAGCGGGGACTCAACAAACGTGAGCTTCGCATCGTCCGGGCGGGGAGAGAGGAGCCCGGTCTCGCCTGAGCAGGGAGGGGCTGAGTCACTCTCCGGGAGGGACTTCCCTTGATAAATTAGGGCCAAAATGCGGATGGATACAGGGTACCAAAAGAACAGGGGGATCCTGGCACCGAGATGCCGGCCTGGTGGGCTTGGGACAACCCAGGGTGACTTCCTGGAGGAGGCATCCTGGGCCGGCGACCACAGAGCCAGGAAGTGGCAGGGACAGGATTCAAACCCAGACCCAGAGCCTGTGTACAGGGTGGGCTGACGGTGGGTAGGGGCACAGGCCAGCAGAGAAGTGACCTCTGTCCCCGGGCTAAGTCTCCCCTCTGCCCGCTCCTGGGACAGGGGCCCCAGCTGCACGCTGGTGGAGACCCAGTTGGCCGTGCTGGGCGCTGAGCTGGGAGGAGGGAGGGTTCAGACACAGCCCGATGACCCCCAGGTCATCTCCTTGGAGCAATCGCGTGTTTACCAAACAGTTGGGGAACAAAATGCGGATGTCCCCCAAACTCTGTCCTCCCAGCCAACGCTTCCCAAAGGTGGCAGGGGAGGCGGGAACCCCTGGGTGGACCCCTCCCCTTCCCACAGGGCCGCGGCGGCACAATGATGGCGGAGAAACCCAGCAAAGACCATCAAAGTGCCCGTAAACACCGCCCTCCTCTGCCCACAGCCCTCCAAGCCTCTGCCCTCCCTGGGGGAAAACCTGAGTCCTCCTCCCGCCCCTGGCCCCCATCACCTCCCTGTCCTCCCCTCTTCCCTTTCTCCCCTTGACTCTGCTGCAAACACACGGGCCTCCTCACTGTTCCTCCAACACACTCGGCCCGCGGCTGCCCCAGGACCTTTGCACCGGCGGTGCCCCCTGCCCGGAACCCTCCTTGGTCTTTGCTTCTATCTCACCTCCTCAGACAAGTCTTCTTGGCCCCTTTGTCCCCTGTTAAAAAATATACACCCCTCCTCTTGCCCTCACACGCTCCCCGTCCCTCAGCCCTGTTATGTTTTTCATCACCTACTAACACCAAGACGATTTCCGTCTGTTTCTTGTTTATCGTCTGTCTCTCCCACACTGTATTGTGGGGTCCCCGAGGGCAGGATTCGTATCTGGTTTGCTCCCTGCCGGGCACAGCTCAGCAAGGGAAGGAGCTTGCCCACCCAGGCGTGGGCAGGGCTGAGACTCAACCCCAGGACCTTATCTACTGCTCCACCCACTCCCAGACTCACCTCGACCCATTATCTTTCTCCCCACTCTGTTCCCGTCAGACTGATTCCCCCACTGCCGTGCCTCTGCCTCAGCCCTTCCCTCTGCCAAAATGCCCTTCCTGGGTGCCACTCTGCCCATCCTCACCTAGCCCGGCCCTCCGGGAGCCCCCAGCCTCACCAGGGGAAGAGAAGGCAAGGTTGCCGGTGGCTCCAAGTGCAGGTGGAGGGGGCTTGGAGTCCCAAGAAGGTGAACTGTCAGAGCTAGGCCCCTGGGGTGGAGTGAGGGAGAGCTTCCTGGAGGCGGCGGCATTGGAGCTGGGCCTACAAGATGGACGAGTCCGAGAGACGGGTGGGAGGGTGGAAGGGCACGGCCTCAGCAGAGGAGTTTGGATATTTGGTCTGAGGGTGAGTGGGAGCCATGGAGGTTTCTACGCAGGGGCAGGGAAGCGAATCCGGCCGGTGGGAAGTGGTCCAACCTCCCAGAACCGCCTCTGGGCCGGGTCCTAGGGAAGCCAGGGGCCACCCTGACCTCACCACATCAGGCTGTGGTTTCCTAACACCCCACCCGGCCACAGGGGAGTCTCGGGGGCGGCTGAGAATTCGGTGAAAGGATGGTAGGGCCCCCAGGAGACTGGCCTGTGGCCCTTCCCCTACCTCGGTCTGCCCCATCCGGACCAGTGCGGCTGGAGGCATCGCGGCAAGATGAGCCCCCGCAGGCCCGGGGAGGAGTATCACTCCTTTCAAACCTTGAACCCTGGCTTGGGCCTTGCGGCCCCACACGCCTGAGGCCCCCCGCACCCTGGAACCAACCAACACCCACCCCGACCTGAACGGAGGCCATAGGCCTTTGGACAACACAAAGCACCTTTATTCTGGAGCGTGGACCCCAAAGGGCAAATCACGTGGATCCAGCAGGCCCAGCAGATGAAGCTGGATATTCTCAGGGACTCCCCCCTCCCCCCACCCCGCCCCGTCCAGGATGTACAAGCTGGGGGGTGGAGACAAACCCCCAGACAGCCGCTGGGCAAACTGTGTTTCTTTGGGGAGTTTTGATCCGCTTTTTGGGGGGGCGCAGGGACGGGGACCACAGACAGAGGCACCCAGCTTGGGGCAGATGAGACCTGAATTGGGCTCCAGTCCCCCTGTGTCCAAGGGAAAGACTGGAGAGCGTCTGAGATCAGTGAAGCTGGTCTAGGCGTCTGAATTTAGCCGCCCACCCCCACCGCGCACCTGGGCCAAGGCCACCGCGCAGTCCGTTAGTGCATATTCATGGCCACTAGGGGGCAGCAGGGACCTCGGGGTGGTGGTGGGTGGGGGTGCAGGGCGACCTCCCGAGGGCCGCGTCTGCTGCCCCGTGGCCCCATCTGGTCAGAAGTCCAGCTCTGGCATCAGGGTGTGCTTGGCGCGGCTGGGGGGCGTGGGTTCCTCCTTGGAAGTGTCGCCTGGGAGGGCTGGCCCGTCCCCGTGCTCGGCTTCCCAGGCTCTCTGCTGGGCCGGCCAGTCCAGGTGAGCCCAGCGGGGGTCAGGGCCCCCCACGACCTCGTCCACCAGAGCCTCCAGGTCAGGCGGGGGCGCGGGCCGCTCCACGAGGATGGGCGCGAAGGGCCCCACCAGCCAGGGCAGCGGCACGGCCTGCACCACCAGCTCCAGGAGCTCGTCCACGCAGGCGTGGGCCCGGGCCACGCTGCCCCGGCCCTCGGCCAGGGCGGCCGCCGGCACATCGCCGAAGCAGCGGGCGTCGGCGAACGCGGACTGCAGGGCGTCCACGCTGCGCCGCACCTCGGCCACCTTCTCCTGGGCGCTGGGGGGCAGGCCCCGCACGCTGGTCTCCAGCGCGTCCATTGTGCCCTGCAGCTCCCGCATCAGACTCCGGGACAGGACCAGCGTCTCCAGCTCTGCCTGCGGGGGAGGGGAGGGGCCTCAGCGTCCCCGACGGGCGCGCCCCCCACCCCCACCCCCACCCCAGGACCAGCGCCCTGCCTCAGTTTCCCCACAGGGCACCCCGTAGGACATCTGGCCAGCTTCCCCGTGGACACTCCAAACCGCTGACCTCAGCCCTTGGTTTGAGACGGCTGGAGCCCGGCCCCACCCCTCCCCCCCCCCCCCCCCCCCGGTGAGCCCCCGCACCCCCCCCCCCCCCCCCCCCCCCCCCCCCGCCCCGCGCACCCTCTCGCCGCCACCCTACCTGGCTGCGGCGACGGCCGTTTTCTGGGGAGCGCTGGCTCCAGTCCTCCCAGAGCTCGTGCACCTTCCCAGGGCGGGCGGGGGCAGTGGGTGTGGCCCCACCCTGCATGAGGTTGATCTGAGGGGACAGGGGCGGGGGTGCAGCTGAGGATCCGGGGGCTCGGGGGAGCCAGGACCCTAGCGTGGATCTGGTCTCGATAACCATGTAGAGAACATTCTTCCCTGCAACCTTCCCCTGCTGATCCAGCCTGGCCAACCGGCCCGTTCTCTCCTCTGCTCTTGGCCAGACGCCGCCACTCGCGGTTCCCCCGTCGCTCAGACTCACTTCGGCCACGCTGGCCGGTGGGCTGGGTGCACTCCTCCCTCCGCCCCACACCCCTGCCTGGCTCATTCCAGGGTTTCCGGGCGGACGGAAGTCTTCCCTCCCTGCCTCCTGGCTGGGCAGATGCCCCAGCGCCTGGTATGTTTTTTCATCATGACCTTCATTCCCCTACTGCGCTTTGAGCGTCCTGACCGGGCCACTGTGCGTGCCTTCGGTGCCCAGGACGGGGCAGGAATTAGAAGACAAACAGGAATTGTGGTCCATCTGTACTCTGGGGTATTATTCAGCCTTAAAAAGGAAGCCCAGGGGCGCCTGGGTGGCGCAGTCGGTGAAGCGTCCGACTTCAGCCAGGTCACGATCTCGCGGTCCGTGAGTTCGAGCCCCGCGTCGGGCTCTGGGCTGATGGCTCGGAGCCTGGAGCCTGTTTCCGATTCTGTTTCTCCCTCTCTCTCCGCCCCTACCCCGTTCATGCTCTGTCTCTCTCTGTCCCAAAAATAAATAAACGTTGAAAAAAAAAATTAAAAAAAAAAAAAAAAAAAAAGGAAGCCCGTTCTGACACCTGACCTTGAGGTCATGGTGTTCAGGGATAGAAACCCACTCGGGCGCTC